AAAAACACAATGACATTAATATGATATTACAGAGTGCTGTTCTTTTCTAATTATACAATTGGAGTGGTTGCACTATCATGTATTATATATTTTGTAAAATCAAAATCACATAACTGGGCTTTTGAACGTTATGAAAGTCGATATGCAATTTTAGTCAATCACATTTTATATTATCCTGTGGAAGTGCTATGTTTTTCTATGATGGAGCACATTTTCGGTTGCAGGGGCTTTTACTGGAATCGAAAAATCACACACATTTTTTACGACTGAGCTGGAAACTTAGTCATTGTCCTATGCCACAAATGCTTTAAATAAACTCAGTTCTGGATACATGCACCGCAAATCAGGGTATAGTATTCATATATTGGCAGATTGTTATATGGAGGGTTTGTATTTCTATAAAAGCCTCTTTCATTTTAAGACTTGTGTGAGATGGGCATTCAATTGAGTGCACATGTCAGCAAATGTTCTTCTATTTGTACACACCATAGGTCCTTAATTTTACTGGTAGGAACCTCCTGGTTACACCAGTCCACAGGGGATTATTGTGTCCGTCCGTCGTGCAGGGAGGGGCTGGGTGGGGAGGGAGGGGCTGGTTGGGGAGGGGAAGGTGGGGAGGGGAGGGTGAGGAGGGGCTGGGTGGGGAGGGGAGGGTGAGGGGCTGGGTGGGGTGGGGAGGGTGGGGACAGGCTGGGGAGGGTGGGGCTGGGTGGGGAGTGTGGGGCTGGGTGGGGAGTGTGGGGCTGGGTGGGGGGTGGGAGGGGCTGGGTGGAGAGGGGCTGGTCACCCCCTGGTGCCCTTATAAAACTCAACATTTAACCTACTCACGCCGGCTTGTGCCCGCCCTCACAGTCAGTCATTTGCAGAATACACCACGCCGCCGTTGACCCTGGCCATTGACCGAGCAACCCAACGTTCCGACCAGCTCCCTCCGCAGGAATGTGTTTAAAGCATATCTGATATTTCCGCGGATTATTACAGCGATTAAGTCTGTTCATGTGCGGGTACTGGTCAGATTGTTGCATCGCAGGATGCTGAGAGGTGGTGGCAGCTTTGAGGAGGTCTGCATCCACCAGCAGATAGATTGTAGCTTGATATTGTATGCCCAATATGTTATGGTTTTAGCTGACACATGTACGTTGCACAGCTTGGTACCTAAATTAAGAAATAGGCAAACACATTTTTTATTACTATATTTTCTGCATTATAAGATGCTCCTGATTTACAATACAGTGGAAAGTGGTCTGCAGAATAAGTAAATAAATAAATAGATAAACTTGCGATGATCTTCCCCTGTCCAAGGGATGCCTTCATTTCTTGACAAGGAGAAAATATTTGTAATCTATCATTGTGTGAAAGTAGTGGGCTCTGACGAAAATCATATATATCAACTAACAAAAGTCATTGAAACAAAAAAGTTTCTGGAAAACTTCGTTTCTCAGCTGTTTTGTATTCAGGGTGCAATGCATCAGTGACGCTTGCTTAACTAGTTAGAATATTAAACACAGGTGGTTACTGCCAAGCACGACTAGTGATGGTGCAAGAATTATAAAATAAGAAATAGTGAGTATCTGGCGCATTAGATGTAGATTATTTTACAGAACGATTAGTTTTTTTAATTTAAAAATCATAATGAAAATATGATGGGCACTTCAATTAATTTCTGTTTCAAATTAAATAACGGGTGCATCGATAGACAATCACCTTTAATCTAATTATATTTTAATGGTAATTTTAATACGTTTGTTGAAATAATTTCAAAATATACATAATTACAGTTCAATGTACAGTAGCGTTCACATTCTTCATATATCATGTATAACAAAGAGACCATAATATCCAGATTTTGCACGTTTTTTTTAATTTCAACAGTGTTAAAACGGGCATTAACCATTCCCATTTATATCGAGCAAAGTCAGTTCATTTTTATGTTAACATGAATTGAATACTCTTTTCACAATGTAGATCTACATATTTTGACTTGGTTCATGAAATTCACGTTAATTTTTTTAAGCCGAGGAAAATGGTATACATCAAATGATGCGTGCATTCTCGTCATAATTTAGTTTCGTTGTTAATGTTTGCTTGTAATGAGCCACTGCTAATATGGTACCGCACATTGGAAGTGTCATTTTAATGAAAGGGTATATATTCATTGATAGTTGTATTCCGTTTATAGTATGCACTTATGTATGGTTTGTATTGAGTATCAATTCATCCATACTTGGAGAGAAACTAGATAAGTCACATGTGTGACTTAGTTTAACACCAATATCATCCATAATACAGGTTTTTTTGGGTTAGATCGCGAAAATATATGAATGTGTCGTTAAACCCGCCACCACCCGACACATCCAACTAGTAAGGTTTGTACTAGTTACGAATTTTAAATGTCCTGGCTTTGCTCTCCAACACACCGGTGTGCTGTACTAGTTACGAATTTGCACGTTCTGTTTACGTGACAACCCTTACTAGTTGGCTGTGTCGGGTGGTGGCGGGTTTAACGACACAGCAGTGACATGAGCAGACATTGCAGGGCTGCACCTTTGCCCTTTTACTAATTTGCATGTAAAAAAACGTAACAATTTTGATTAAATACAACAGTGTTTTTCGGGGCCTTCAAAGCAGCAATCTTTTATAACAAAATATTTTAAGGGAAAACATCATCTCACTGCTCAGCCTATGGTGCTTTTTTTCCTTCCTTCCAGAGTACCCTTCAGATATGCTCTTGCTTTTTTTTTATAATCAATACCATCTTATTTCATGGCCGCATTCAGATCTTCCACGCAGATCAATGTTCCGAACACTTGAAGGCCGGCGTGATTGGTAAAATTTTTTTTGAAAGGGAGTTTTGCTGATACAGGTGGAAAGACGAGTGGTGATGGAGTGAAAAGGCATACGTTTTTCATATGTCGCTGCATTCATCAAAACAATGGGAAGCCATGCAGATTAATGAACCCACATCCTCGGCATCCACTGCATGTAAATCCATTCAGAGTGACTGTTTTGCAGCATCTTAGCTGTGATGCATTAGAAAGCACTTATCAAAAGAATTCGCTTGCAAGCATTTTGGGAAAAATAGAAAAAGGACTGGTTTAATCTATTATCATCACTAGATCCTTATTCAAGGACGGCACTGTCATATTGTCAATATTTATGGTATCTGTGGCTGTTTATCTTGACAGGGATTTAAATATTTTACACATCAGTAAGCATTTTCAACTTTAACTGTATGCTATTAACAGAGCACAACATGAAATGCATATTTTCTTCTCAACTGTTTCATTTTAAGTATGTGGATTTGAACGATACAAAGCAACATACAATTGTTAAAGTTATCAGGCACTTTGCCGAGGTGTAATGATCAGTCGCCTAGACTTGCAATCCAGAGGTCGCCAGTCCAAGTCGATATTCTGGAAGTGGTGCGAGTTTCTTTCGCCTGCCCCCCGCAACTTCTGTCCTTCCAGCAGTGGGGGCAGTGGGGGGCGTGGTGGCGAGATGTTAACTACCTCGCCTGGTATGCAGGAGGTTTTGGGATTGATCGCGACCCTAACGATGCCGGTATATTTGGAGTGTGCGTGTCTCTCTCCCCGTGAACACGTGTATTTTTCTCCGGGTCCTCCGGGTTTTCCGTTCACATTCAAGAACAACATGCGTTTCGAGTATTTGGCTGCTATACGTTTCTCACGCCATAAGCCCCTTTGTTGAGCTATCATTTGTGGTCAGGTCGCTTCTGACAAAAATTAACCCGTAAAAACAAAGTTTTTCACTATAAATCCTTTATATGCGTGGCGGCTAGAGTCCTCTCGTCCTCTGGCTTGAGATGGCTGCCACCTATGGGTCAGATGATTGCCTGCCACCATTAAGCAATTGGTAATTAAATATAATTTATTTTCTCCTAAAAAGTGTAAAATTTAGGAAAAAAATTTTCACGAAAATAAATTGTCACGTACAACGAGTCTGTGTGCAAAATGTCAGCTCGATTGGATCACGGGAAGCTGTATAGCTCAGTGGGCCTTACTTGGTAAAACATTCTTTTTTGTATTTCTAGTTAGTTTAGTACAAATGGGTGCACCACAATTAGTGGCTCAACACATGCAATGGACCAAAGTGTGGGCGACTCCCAACTTTTCAATGTGTTTGGCCAGCATGGAAGAGTAGGCAAAAGACCCTATAGGTGGGGGCTCTCTGGAGCTCCTTCCAGAGAGCAGTTTGTTGGGCTGCACCTTTACCTTATATCGATCTTGGGGGGGGGGGGGGCAGAATGCATATCAATAATTTACAATCAAGACGATTGAAAATATTGCACGCACATCAAGTGTGGTATCCACAGATGCGATCATGTTCCGTCCAGTGCTCGCCAAGATGCATTGGCTTCTGGTTGCCGAACAAATGCATTTTAAGGTTGCACTCATTACACACAAAGAGCATAAACCATCGTGCGAACTCCGGTCATCCTCGCAGTGGCTTTTGGCTAACCATCCAACAAAGGTGGTCACTGCATCGCGTGGCGCTTTCAGATGCGCTTCTGCAGCCGTCTGGAACGCTCTTCCTTCCGACATTAGGAAGCCACTGGAGCTATGCACTTTTTAACAATGATTTTAAATTTCGATTTAAAGCTTTCGTGACTGCAGGGATTCATCTTCTTGGTTCTTTCGGTAAAGTCACGTAGAAGGGAAATAATAAAATAATAAAAATTGTGAGATAGTGAGAATTATATTTATTTCCCTTCTACGTGACTTTACCGAAAGAACCAAGAAAATGATTGAAAACTAATTTCTTTCGAACTGCTTTTTGTTTCTAGTTTGTTGCCCTTCCCCTGCACCGCTAACTAGTGCGGTTTTCCACGTGCGGCGCAAAAGACGTTCAAAATACATAAACTGCGGAATTCGTCGTGACAAAGAGTTTCGTGGGCTGCTGACGAAAAAAAAAGTATCTTCTATTTTTACACCTCCGTCTGACATGTTGAGTTTTTTTATCTCTCGTTGCTTTCCCCGCAGAGACCCGCGGTGTGCTGCACACCTTACGTGGGGGAATTGGAAGTCACCTGAGCCAAATTCACAAATATGAAATAACAACTCCTGTCAGGATGCATGCAGATGGGTCCAAGAGCTTAGTTCAACGTGCCGAGGTAAACACTGCACACATCCATTCATCCTGTTTCATGTTACATACTCGAATTGCCGTGTACCAGGTCGAGAATGTGATGTGTTTTGTATTCAAAGATAAGCAAGTCGTGGGCTCGAGGCTCCCAACATTATTAACTGTCTTTCATTTGATGATGGAATAAAACATGACTTTTTATTTCCTCCCTATGTTGCTCTGCTCACTGTTCACTTGCCGCCGCTTCAAAGGCAAAGTGAAGACGCTCACCTCTTTCCATTACCGTTTTTTTTCTAAAATCTCAAAACCTGAATTTTTGCTGCGATTGTCTTCATTCAAAGATGCACTCCTGTATCTTGCGTCAACATCATTTTTCAAATTTTTCAAATGATGTTGTTCACACAAGACAACAACGGCAGGCAACCATTCGCCACCACTCAGCGGCGATGACTTACGCTGGCACCAGCTTATGGGACCGGCCAAGGTGTTGTGGGTTAACTGACTGAGATGACTGACTGGCAGATGCACCGACTATGTCCCCATTTACATGAAGAAAATATCTCTCTGCAGCCATAACGACTGTTGTGACAAGCCCTGTTACACACCACACCAGGTACTCATTTAAGGTTGAGTCGACCAAGGGGAGGCCTAGGATTGGAATTCAGATCACCGTGTTAGTCACGTAGCATGCTTATACACAATTCTAGCGCTCCCTATTTCCACACACAAGACAAAGGCGCTGTAGTAACAGTTTGGGGCAAGTGCTGTTAGCCAGTACCTAATGAAAGCTAGCACTACACGAGGGGGTGGGTGACCAGCACCACACCCGACCGCCTTTGTCTCCCATGTGGTGATGTATAAACACCACACCAGGTACTCATTTGAGGCGGAGGTCCAGGACCGGTTCAGATAATCGTCAGTTAGCAGTGAGCGAGTATCGAACTCGGGTTCCTGGGTTCATAGCGCAAGCGTGCCAACCGCTACATACAAAGGCAAATATATATATACATACATTTATATTTTGGTGATTTCATATTCTGCAGCTGTACATGTACATTTTATTATTTCACCAAGCAAAAGATGCCCTCACCTTCACTCCTTGACCGATTTACTTGATTATCATTCTTCAGCTGTACACATTTTTTGAGATGCTGCTGTGTTTAAACACCCTTTGCGTCCAACTTGTTTTAATCTTGAACCTCTAGGGTGGAAACATTCCTGACAAAAAAACAAGTATTACCAGCCATTTTCGCAAAGCATACACTGTATAATGTGTATATATTTTAAGCTTTAGCGTGAACACAATTTCTGTGCTGTAATCACCTTGTAGAATCTCAACTTGCTAAAGTAGTTTGTAACTGAGTGCATCATTGTCATGGCCATCATCACTCTTACTGAAACGTGCAGAAATTGCCACTATTTGTCAAACCTTCCAACCCCTTTACACCTTAATATAGGGGTTTTTTTTGGGGTTAGATCGCGTAAATATATAAATGTGCCATTGAACCTGCCACCACCCGACACAGCCAATTAGTGAAGGTTGTCACTTAAACAGAACGTGCCAATTCGTCACTGGTACAGCACACCGGTGTGTTGGAGAGCAAATCCACAATATTTACAATTTGAGTACGACGTTTCGCCAGTAATTACAACTAACTTCATCAGGCGACAGCCAGATTTGTGGAGAAATCCTCCTGTTTCGTTCCTTAAATAGAGGTGTAGATGTGATGACGTCACTTGTGAGCCCTTCACGTACGAAGTGGGGGGGGGGGGGGTTAATGAATGCATAAAAATGACAATGGGTATTGATTGCCGGTTGAGTTCTTGATATGTTAATCAACGAACATTATGCATGCACATTGTTCCGTGCTCATGAAGTACCTGTCCATTTTTGATTTAAAGCTTTCGTGACTGCAGGAATTCATATTCTTGGTTCTTTCGGTAAAGTCACGTACATGTACCTGTACATTGTTGGAAGATATAAATGCATCCTTGTCATCACAGCATATCTTTTCATTTACACTCGCCTACGCTGAATTGTAAATCATTTGCCAATGAAATATGGAATATTCAATGTAAGGTTATTTTAATTTAGTTGCAGCATATCTAAGAAGATTACAGTTATAGCCCCACATTGACAACGTGGTCAAGACAAGCCCTTCGTGACCCACGTTACATTCAGAACAGTGGGCCAAATAATGTTTGAAGCAATATTTAGCGGCACATAACGGCTTCTTCTACACACAGCCAGATGTTAATTATGGGTGTATGTCATGGTCCGTACAATTATATAATTGCTTGAACACAATTCTGCCATTATATTACACATCTTTGTTACTTAATCTGATGCATATTGTATAAATATCATGATATGAAGGATGACAGGCCATTAAAATTAGATATTTTTTTAATGTACAGCCCTATGTAATTCCACTGCCGAATGAAGGCCTCACCATGCCGTGTTAATTATATTATTAATGGCGTTGTTTGACCATATTTCACCATGATGGTCAGTGTGGATTGGTAAAGGTGGTGGCCTAGGAACAGTTCAGGTATTGTACAAAATACTGCGCCAAGGATATGATTCTTCAGCAGTTTTTGTGTCTACGTGTGTAAAGGATATTCATAGAGTCTGAGCAACCCAAACTTTTCGTGTGCAGAGTGAGAATGATAGCTTTGGAGATAATAGAAATAACATGATGGTTTGTGGCCGTGTATTAGAACTCCGCCATGCTATGCTGCATGGTGACCTTGCTACGTGTCTAAGAATAGTTAAAGGCAGGTGCCAAAAATAAAATTCTTAAAAACAAACACATATCCTACTGAATGAAGGAATACGCATACCTGTTATAAAACCACTGTTTCGTTTCTCACAGGAATATCTATCTGAGTGAAACAGTTATATGCTTATTTATGAGGTCACATCTTGTTTAAACAATACTAATTAATTTTTTACATTATTTTTGTTAACATCGAACGTGCCATCCATCCTCCTTGTGGTCGTGTCATGGTGCCAGATGGGTAGCTAGCCTCAGTGTTTTGTGCTGATAAAGTGACCGTACCTTTTCGCCCGTGCAGCAAGGGCAATTTATCAACTTGATTCGGCCGACATTCAAGCAGTGCAGGAGAAAGATGCAAAAAAAGGTGCACATATCTATGAGCATTGCCGAACACATGCATCGAACGGGGTCTCGTAGTTGATATGTAATGCACTTACCAATGACATTTGTTGATCCAGCAACATTTATTTAACAAGCCTGACTGCTGTTGAGGCCCAGAAGGTTGAGACAGGTCCAGAATTTGCTGGCTTAAACACATGCCGTTGATAATATTGCTTTGGAAAGCCAAGTAGGCTGGTTGACAAAAAGCATATCTTTGTTTCTAGATTTGAAGCTTTCGTGACTGCAAGGATTCATACTCTTAGTTCTTTCGGTAAAGTCACGTAGGTAAAAAATGAAATTAAAATTAATGAAAATAAAATCACGACGTTTCAGAGGCAACACAAGTCTCAAGTGATGCAGCAAATCTGGCTGTGACGGTCCCACCTGATGACGGAGACTTGTGTTGCCTCCGAAACGTCGTGATTTTATTGTTTTATTTTTATTAATTTTTATTTCATTTTTTACCTACGTGACTTTACCGAAAGAACTAAGAGTACATATCTTTGTTTATATGTGAAGATCTGCACTGATGAATGTTGGTTTGTATGCTCATTAAAATAATACATATAATTAAATACATGCATACAAATTGTGCAATGAAGAAATGTTGTCTTACTTGACAAACTTAACCAACCTTCTAAGTTACGATGAAATTAGCGGCATGGCCTATTTTTTGATGAATCGTTGCATCTTCAAAATCAAATGCACAGGCGGCACTGCTTTGTACGTGCTCAGGTTTGCCTTTGATTTGTGCAAATAATGAGGAAGTCTGTAGCATCGGCAAATAGCTATTTTTGCAGATCATTGGTTAAGAATAAAGGAAAGCCATGGAGTCATTAAGTCCTGCCTTGATTCAGAAGGCTCAGCCTTCCCTGTTTCTAATTTAGCTACCAGTTTGGACCTCAGAAACTCGAGATTCACTCTGAGAGACAGCTTGAGGCATGTGTGTGTGTTGCATCATACATTGCACGCGTCACCCTTTTTGTTGGCTCATCAGTATAAAAAATGAACGTCAAATTAGAATCAATATTGAAGAATATTTATTTTGAAAATTACAATGACGCTTTCGTGGAAACCCTTTGGTTGGTCATCCAAAATTTGTATCATTGCATGTAATGTTATTAACGTGCCGGCATTAAGAAAACGGAAAGGAGAGCTGTAATTTGGATTTGCTCGTCAACCGTGTTGAACTATATTGGTTGAATTTTATCATCATCACATTTCAGGAGCATTAAGTTGCGGTGTTTTACACTGCCAGTTTTATTTTCTCTGTTTGTTTCATCCTTTGCAATGGGATAGCCAAGCCAAGCAAAAAAAATGTGTGCATGGCTATAATGAGTGCAGGGTCTGGCTGCTTCTCAAGCCTTGGGTGGTGATGTTCACTGCAATGTCCATCCCCATTGCCGCATCATTAGAGCAGTCATGCGCACAGGAGGACGTAACAGACAAAAAGATTCATAGCATATTTCACACGGAGGGCAATGGCTTAATTGTAAATCGCGTGAAAGTGTTTCACTATTGTGACTACTGTAACTATATATATATTTTTTTTTCTATTGGCCGGCTAGCCTCAGAACATGAATTAATCATAGCTAACTCTGCTGCTGGTGATGGTGGTGGTGTACCGTTGTTATTAATAGTCTGGAGCCAACCAAATGGTTTGGAGAATACAATTGGCAAGTTCACCATAGCGTTGCATTTTATTTCGGTGCAATTGTGAACGGTCAGCGTGCGCTGTTGACTTGATGAATTAACAGTGCATTTTAAGATACGGGTGTCAAAAGCAAAACAGACCTGCCTTGCAGACTAATGATATGTTGTAACAATTTCCTGGAGGAGATCACTCGAAGCAAAGCCACAAGAGGGT